TGCTGAAGGATACTGCACAGAAAGCAAAGGTCAATTTTCTGTTAGAGTGGAAGATGATGCTTTCGGACAGGTACCGTCAATTTCAGTGGTTTTGCAATAAAATGGGAAGTGTGTGCAGCAATTTACATCTCCTAAATAGATTACCCAACACAGACACACACACGCACTTGTCAAAGCTAATGGCATTCTTTCTGCTGAGCCTGACAAATTCCAGTCCTAAATCTAAACAAGAATAAATCTTGGCCAAATGTTGACATTTCACACTCCTTCTGGGGCCACCTCTCCAGGGAGCAGAGAAATTTCTCTTCTCCAGCATCCTGAGCTGTAACAGTTAGTGCTATCAACCCTGCAGAGCCTCACAACAGAGCAGGCTTGCTCCTAACGAAATACTTTCTGTGAAGTATACAAAACTAAAAGTGATAATACAGCTTTCATCCATATTCATGTTTTGTGGTTTTGGTCTGCAGTGAGCTCTGATGTTTTCTTGCCATAAGCATGTTTCAGATCAAGTATTTTAAAAGTCGAGCTGAACATTACTTGTCTAGTTTAAGGTTTTCTCTTCACAACTAACTGTACAGCAAGCTAGAGTACTCAGTCAGAAGAACCTTCGGAAAGTAAAATGCATCTTTAAAAAGTCAATTTTTAATTTTCCATCGTGGTATAACAACACTATATGCAGTGCTTCTAGGTATATTTGCCATCCCTTGTCATTGCCCTAAAATACAGGGCGATGTTCCCAGTGATCAGTTACACATATATGCTCTGTAGTGTATTCAGCTGCGTGTCTTGCCTACTTAGCCAAAATATCCATGGAAAAAAAAACTATGTATATGAACCCTTGAGCATCATACTCAGCTGTAGGACTAAGTATTTTAGCTGACGGCATAGGAAAAAGCAGTTCTCCAGAAGTCAAGGCCTTCTGATACCGTTTGCTGGCTCCTGGGAAAAATAGAGTGGGCTGTAGGAAAGCTAGCCTGTCCTGGCTGTCTTTCTGAAAAGTCTCCTTCAGTTTGATGCTTTTCTTCAGGATTTAGGTTTCTAGTCTCCTTGGATTAAATTAAAATCTTAGCTTTTAATGAAGAGTGTCTGTGGTTATGGAAAAAAACTTAAAAATGCAAAACCTTAAAATCTATAAACCAACAGTGAAATAATGAAGAATGAACAGGTGTTTTCAGGGAAGGAAAGGCAGGGGACATTACATTGTGTTAAATATTTGTTTGGTTGGTTTTGGGGTTTTTTAATACTATTTCTTTTGTAGAAGAGAGTTTTATCCCATCTGACATTCCCAAAGAAAGGATGAGGTGCCTGACCCGGATTCTGTGTATCCTCTATAGTGAGAAAGGATCTCTGATATCTCTCATTTTTGGTATAGTTCATAGTGCTGCTGAGCTGGGAATAAAGGTTCAGTAGAGAATGTTCCTCTACAGAAGTCATTTTGTTTTGTTATTGTAATTTCATGAACAACACATGTGAGGGAGGGAATATGGTGATTCTTAATATTTCACATGTCCATTGAAGGATTTTCTCAAAGATCATTTTCTATCTTTCTATCTCACACAAAATAATAATTAAAAACTGTTATTAACAGCTGGAAGCAACAGTGCTTTACAGACAAAGAAGCTTTCTTTTGATAGATGAATTTTCTCACTCCTTTTACTGTTTTCTCCCCTGTCCCACTGGCAGGGAGGGAGGGAGCCACCAGCTGTGTGGGTGCTTGCATGCTAGCAAGGGCCAATGCACCACAGCATCGCACCCGGTTAGGGATGTAAGACAACATAAACATAAACCATTGGATAGAATAGACAGCTAAGATTTCGTGGGTCTAGAAACATATAAGTACTGAATTAAAATTCTTATGGAGGATTGGGGAAGGGTTGAGATTTGGTGGGGTTTACCTGTTTCAGGAGGCTGAACACGTTGTCATTTTGATACTTATGAAGCACAGATGCTTTAGTCTCTATTCAGCTTCTTTAGTGCTAAATAAAATAGGGCTGGAGATTGATCCTTTGTTCTAAATCCAGCTAGCACAGACTTGCTCATATATATGCTGCCTAAGACTAGCCTCCACTAGGAGGAGCTTAAGTGGCTAGGAGGAGCCTAGTGGAGGCAGTATGCATGTCCTTACTACGTCGTGCTTAAGCTCTAAGTGTCTTGAGAGCCCTAGGTGGTACTGCTGTGACCCTAAAACTTAATTATTATTTGGGGGGATATTTCAGCTCGATGTGTCTGAAGAAATATGCGGGTTGGGTTGCAGCCCATCAAAAGTTGTGGTTTAGTAGCATGAAACTGAAGGGCTGATGAATAACATACTGCGGAATACGACACAGAGGTACATTGGATGTGTTTGAGATGCAGAGATTGCTGGGAGTGTTGGCGGGATATTTGGGGTGGAAGAAGCTAAATCTGGTGTAGCCATATTCACACTGACTTTCTGGGGGTCGTGTCTGGCATGAACCATCCTCAGAACCAGCCTCGACGTTGTCCTGGAGAGAGTTAGTTTGGATTGTCCACGACAGAGCTAAGAAATGAGCATTGAAGTGATATAAGGGATTGAGCTTCTAGTGCTTGGGTTCATTGTACATCCCTCTTTTGAGCAATATAATTGTAAACTATTTAGATTCTACAGTTACTGTTTGCAGCCAAAACCTTCTAAATTTCAACAGGAAACAGATATTAGATCTGAATTTTACGTAACAATGTGGGATTGAATATGTAACAGCAGTGGCCACATTAATTATAATCAATCTTCATAATTAAATTTTGCTTATTAAGACGTCAATCTGCAGATATCAAAGCTGGATTTTTACCACATGGGGTGCCTGTAGGCACAGCTGTTTTCCCACAAATCTTTGCAGTCCTCAGACATGACTGTGCTCTCATTTTGCGCTGCTTCTAGTCTCTCTGCATTTCATGTATTTACCCTCCAGTCGTACATAAGGGACTAAGCTTGATGGCTACTTTCATTTGCCAGCTCGTTATAGATAAATTTCTATATATATATATATATATATATGTATGTATTTGTGAAGAGGAAGGGGAATCTAGGTTAAGAGATCTTCCCCAGTTCCTGCCTTTAGCTGTGCCTGGTAGCTCACATGAAGGAGCACAGGACACCTTGAGCCTTCTGGCCTACCTGAACACCTTCATGGACAACTTAGGGGATGACTTAGATTGTCAAGTGACATGCATTTGATTTCTGATAAAAGCCCAATCACTATCCAGGATGAAATATCTGTGTGCCCCACAGAGACCCGAAGTAAAGAATAAATCCACACATCTAGTCCAAGGCTGCAATACCCTTTGCTGTCTTAACAATTCCTGAAGACATCTGGCAGAGGAGACATTTTTGCCCAGACCGACCTGGAACACCCTTAGGCTAGAAACCTCCCTATGTTGGCTCTTGGCAATACCAAGAGTTGCCTTGGAGCTATGACCCAGCAGTCTCTTACAGACTAGATGTACTCCTTTGCCCATTGCATACGGCTTTAAATAACATGAGGCAAAGAAGGCTGTTACAGTCTATGTTTGTTTTCTGCTCTGGCCTCCTGGGCAGTTTCCAAACCAAGACAGGGGCTATGTGAACAAGCGTTCTGATTAATGGTGCAGTTAGCTAACAAAGATTGGGATTAGAGATCAGGGCTTGGCAGAAGGTAGGCAGAGGGCCTTTGGGTGACTTCTGCTATCTGGTCTCCAAGAAGTGACCGTAGTAGACTCTCCCACAGTGTTTTTGTGTGTTCATAAACCAGGCCAGACCCATCATGGCCCAGAAACAAGACAGTTCTGGGAGTGGTGCAAGGGACTACACACCAGTTCATCCCCTTATAACACACTGCCATTGCACTGCAGAGTCTCTGCAGAATGAGTCGTGTACAAATGAGGATCATCCCTGCTGCAGAGCATGTTAGGAGGGATGGTGCGAGGGGGAGACCGTTGATGCTGCCTTCATCAGGCAGCCCTAGGAGATTACATCGAGCTAGATGTGGCAGCTCTGGGAGGTGTGCTACTGGTGGTGGGGTCCCATAGAGCACCCCATAGAGGACATCATGAACACCAGGCAGCCAGTGGCTCTTCATGTCGCATTTTATTTTCTACTTTCCCAGCATGTGCGGGGTGTGCTGTAAGACCTAGACGGTCTGGACAGTCAGGAAACCTGGTCACAAGAGCATCCCCTTAGCAATGTGGTTTTAGTGCAATTTGGGCAACTGAGGACAAAAAGTGATAAGAGTCTGCATGTATGGAGCTGGATTTCCCTAGCTCTGCTGCATAAAGCTTGAGTAGCGTTACTAGTTCTTTTTTTCTTGGGTTGGGAGCTGCCAAAAATCTCTATTTTACTAGTGATATTAAGAAGGTTGATGGTTTTCCCCAGCCCCACAGATCCCATAGATACAGATTAGTCAGGTGTGTTCACTGAAGGGATCTGCGTTTTTACTTAAGAAGATCGTGTATTTGTCCTCTATTCATCAGGTAGAATTAAGAAAGTCAAAGTTTTCTGACTGAGCAGAATTGAAAGGCAGAATTGGAGTTGTGCAGGACCATTGCCTTAGGATTTATCTGAGTGTTAGTTTTTAGTTTCACATTAATCTTTGTACGCTCCTGCAAAACAGAAACCAGCAACCTGCCTAGAGTTACTCCCCTCTGTCACAGGCAAATTTGAAGTGCTGGGCTAAAAGGTTGTCAGAAATATGGCTTTCAGCCAGACCTCACCATGCTTATGTGGAAGCAGGTTATTCCAAGACTGCACAAACTGTTGTTGATTGTTTTATTAGTACAGATCAGCTTTGCTGTCACCCTGTGATCCAGTCTGTCTGGGTGCTGTGGCTAAGATGATCAAACTGAGCTTCAGCTGGAGGAGGACTCCAAAACCAGTGCATGTATTTACACGTCTTACAGCTGGGAGTCCAGGGAAGGGTGGGTCTTACAAGGAATTGAAACCAACTTGAGTCTTTCCTTAGCCTGAGCAGCAATACTCCTTTCTGACAAGGCAAGGTACTCCTGAAGCAATGTCTGGGGTTAGAGGATGGAGGGAAGGCAGCAGGTACAGGACGACTGCTGCCTCCAGTACCCCATTTTCCTCTCAGGGCTACCTCTCGGATGACAACAGTAAAACAGAAAACCCCCAGAAGCTGACAACATCTGAAGAGGAGCAAAGTGGACAAACGTCAGCCTCCCAAGAACAGGAAGGACAGTAGTAAGTAGCAAGGAGCCTGACTGAGATGGTGTTACGTCTGTTGAGTGTCTGTTCTCCACCTTACTTGAGGTGTGCACCTTCAGAGGTGGAAATACTTTATGGAGAGCCTGTGGATGGGACTGGGCACACAAACAGCTTGTCCTCATCCTCTCAGAGCCACCTGTGGTCAGCCTGAAGCTTACCTATGAATGATGCTTCCTACATAGGACCTGCGTTGTTCTGGCAGGCTTTGTGATGGCGTGGCTTACACCTCATGTGATAGCTGCAGCTGGTTCTGTAGGTTTGATACTGGTGTACATAGTGTTGATTTCTTGGCATCTTTTTTCAAAGTGAAATTTCAAATCTAGTTCTAGCTCCCTGTTTTCTGTCTCCTAATAGTACATCCTGGAAAGTCTAAAAATACTTCATGTGGCTTAAGAGATGGATATAGGCTGTGTTCCAGCACTGATCTGAATGCAATCCAGAACAGCTTCCAAGAACTTCATGCTGACAAAAGTAAAACCAAAGCTTCAGCCCTCAATTTCATTTTGGGCTTTATTGGGATCTATGCTCAGTCCATCTCTGGTTTTCCAGTGACAATTCTTAGATAGCTTGTATAAGCTCTAGCTTGCAGATGTTAAACAGAATAGAAACTGAAGGTAGTGTGTGTGTATTTTATGTGCATGTGCTTAATACAAATATGCTTAGCTGACCAAGGCTAATTGTTTACAGTCTTTTTCCCCAGATATGCTTTTCCTGAGCTGTTAGTAACAGTGCAAGTAATGCTGCTATTATTATGTGCTAAGTTTGCTTAGCTGCTTGTTTTTTTCCCCGCCTTTCAAAGTGCAGCTGACGGAAGCTGAAGGCTGTTTCAGTTTCCTTTCCCTTCTTTCTGGATGAAGAAGGTGGAGCCACGCTGTGCAAGAGGTGGCAAGTTGCTGATCACAAGCAGCAATCAGCAGCTTTCCATTGTAACCCATGAATGCCTGCCTACTAGGTGTAATGATACAGGGACTATTAAGAGCTGGGTAGCTTTGAAATCCCTCAGCGCTTTAATGACTGACTTTCAGGAGAGCAAACAACCATTCTTGAGTTACAGTCTATGTTTATTTTCTGCCACTTCCAAACATAAAGGACCCTCTGTCTTGCCTGCCCTCACACTGGCATATACCCACAGCAGAGTGAGAGCAGCCCTAGTTCTCTTATATATTTGTGCTGTGTGGATTTCATTGTTGTTTTGTTGTTTGTTTTTTGGGGGGAGGGGGAGCAGCGGCGGTGGATAGTGGGTCTGGTATACAAACCCCCTGGTATAGGTTAGGTAAATACTTAAACAGTTGGTTAGCCCAAGCTCCCTGCAGAATTTAAGGCTGTGCAAATATATGCACATAGATTCTGACTGGATTATGGGATCCCCCCTAAAACTAAGTAAGCTTTTGGGGAAGAATGATTTAACGCCCTGTTCCATTTTTCATCTTTATATGATGCTTGCAGAGAGAAAACTGTTGTGCATCTAACACAAGGACTGCTTAGTATTTTTTGCTGTGTGATACAAAAGATTCTCTCTGCGTCTTCGTAAAGCTGTAACAAAGAATTCCTTCCTAAACCTGGAGTGTACAAATTAAAATCTGCATTAGCATGTGGTTAATGAGGAGGAGGGAATGCAAGTTCAAACAGAAAGCATGTAATGTGAGTGGGAAACAAATACTCAAAGAAAGGAGTGAACAAGACTGGGGTTTTCTCCCTGCCCTCAAGAAAGGGGATGCTAGCAGTCAGTTTGAAGGAGATGAAGCCACTTACAGTGTGATTTCCTTAACCAAGATTAAAGTGGTAGAAGGTCTCTGAAATGTTGAAGCGAAAGGGAGATCTTTATTCTTAAAATGTTAACTGTTAACATTCATTGTTGTATCTTTGTTCTGTTATTTTAAGTTATGTTTCAAGAAAGATCTTAGATTAAAATATCATTTCAGCAATGGTAAAGCCGACTTGGCCTTTTAGCCATCAATCCTTTTGAAAATGATCCTTAAAACTAAAATACCAGGACACCCTCAGAATAGCCCAGGTTTTCAGGCTCTGGGATAACCAAGGGTTGAACAGAGTAGTTGGAGAGCTAAAGACATAGAGTACCAGCAGAAGAAAAATGCAGACTAGAGGGCTTTCTGGAATACATGTAGTGGAGGGGACATGAGGGGCCCAAGTAGGATGCTTCTATTCCAAGGAGTGGCTCTATTCCAACTTGTGTGCTGCTTGCTAGTTTTTGGAAACAGCCAGGATATGGTTTTGCTGCCAGCAAAACAGGAGTTGGAATCTCTTTTAAAGCCTCTGTGTGAGTTGTTTCCATGCAAACTCTCAGTCTCAGGCTGTGCTTCAGAGCAGTTGGGAGTGGGAAAACACCTTAGTAGCATCTTAGGATGGGATCAGGTGACCTTTCATGTAGACTGGACACGACAAATATGTGTGAGACCTGACATGTTGTAGTCTTATCCACTAGTCAATATTCAAACTAGACTATTAAAAAAAGTACAAGGTGGGCAACCAGTATTAGAGGGTAATTTTTCTCTTGCTTTGGAAAAGCCCTCATATGATATGTCAAGGCTGAGAAGTGATAATAAAATGGTTCTAATTAAGTTTAGAAAAATACGTGTTCAAATGGAAAATTGAAATCAAGCTTTGGACATCCCCCTCCAGTTATATGTAGGATGTGGTTTCAGGCCGTGGAGAAAAAATCACCAGGATGACAAGTGCTTGAAACTACTTATAATACTAAGCTTGTATTTAAGTTACTTCACTTTGTCTGCTAAGTGCCATGAAATTAACTTGTAAAAAGTGAATTCCCAAATTGCCCCAGTTCATCTCTCTTCAGAAACAAAAGTCTGTACAGAAGAAAAAAGTCTGTACAGAAGAAAAGGTGGAGGAAAGTGAGGAAATTAGAGTCTGAACTATAGCTAGTGCCCAAAAAAAGAAAAAGCTGCCCCCATTCAGCAGTCTGTCCTTGGCACCTTTAAAGCTGGCAGGAATAATACTGGTTCTGGTAAAATCCATTAAAAAAATCAAATTCAAAATAATAAAATCTTATGATATATTGTTGCACAGCTGGTAACAGTCCCTCATCATTTTGTGTCAAAGGAAAGCAGAGTTACTAGAATGCTTGACTTGCGAAATTGTATTCTTTGACTGCCGGAGCCAAATCCATCAAGGCTTTCTTTCCTTCCTTTTCCAATCTTCAACCTGAATTAAAATAAAATAAAATAAAATATATCTACAGTGTTGTAAAACCTCTCAATCTTTTGCTGGTTGAATATACTTAACAGTTCTTCTATAAATTTTGTTTTCTTTCACAAGCTGACCTTTCTTTTTAAAAACACCAGATTAGTCTATGAAACTGGAGGCAGATGCTTAGCAAAATGCTTGTTTTGCCCACTCCTCTGCCACTGGTGGGAGTGCTAGAAGGGTAATTTGAATTATGAACAACCTGTTTATAGTTGAGCTCTGCATTTGCTGCACAGGAGAAATCTCCCAACTCTTATCTTTCAGGCTGATGTACTAATCTTCACAGTATTGCCCAGTGGGGCGATTCAGAGATGCCCAGCTTGACTGTGGTCAGTAACCAGCCTTGTCTCCAGCCGAACATTTGGTGTCCGGGTCTATGTAAGAGGATAACTATGCAGTAAGATTTCTGTTAGTCTGGATTGTGGGGGTTACTGTGTTCCTCGTAATGCTTGGAGGCAGG